ATTTGCTCATATATTTGTTTGTTTTTATAGATGCCATTATGGAACCTTTAAAAATATAGGTATTCGGGATAGGAGATAAATCATAGCTATTAATAAAGTCCTATGCTTTATTTAGATAAAATAATCATGCTCTTTGGACTCTCTTTTATGAAATATTCTCAATAATTAAGAGATTTATATTTGACTATGAAATGAACAGACTACAACAATAATTTTTACAAATTCTACAGTATGAACCTATCTTAAAATACTTTTTTTAGAATAATATTTCTTTGTCAATACCTTAAATCTTGTTTTTTCAAGGGAAGTTCTAGAAAGATGAGTTAAATACAAATAAAACTTGTCTGTGTCACACAGATATTAAAGCTATTTCTTTGACTAAAAAGAAGCCAGCTTAAACTTTCAAATAACCTTTCTTGGTGAATTTGTAAGTGATGCTGTTATCTTTATAGTTTTTACAGAACATCTCGCTTCTTCTCAAAGAAGAAAAAGTCTTCTCAAAGTCTTGACACCCCTTTACTCCACTCCTCAGAATCTACTTTATGACATACTATTAAGTACAATTTTTATCGTGCCCAGAAATGTTTAACTTACCACCAAGGAGCTGCCTTCTGAGGAAATGTAACCTGCTCCAGCATCACACAGACATATATGGGGCACTTAGCTTTCAGCCCAAAGCAAGAAGCTTCTTCTTATTGGTTAGAGCCTTTCTTGAAAGAGATGACTTTGCAATGATTGGTCTGGAATAATACTAGAAGCCCCACCCACTCATTAGCCCTGAGGAACCTTAAGTACCACATCAACTAGTAACTAGTAGTAAACCATTAATCCTTTTAGACAGGATATAAAATAAAGTTTCTTTAATTCATAAGGAGAATTAGATTGCTCAACAGCAATCCTTCAAAAAATATTGCTTCAATTGTTTGGCACCAGATTAATTGAGTCCCATGGTTTTTTAATGATGAGTCCTAGTGACCTCTTATTGTTAGCCCTCCAGAGGTAATTCCTATATTTTGTAACTAGAAAATGTTATTTGAAATTATTTTGTCTTACATATAGTCTTACATATAGTAAATCTTACTTTGATTCTTATTTGCCAAAGTATTTCTATCTAGTGGAAAAAAATTTTAAGCAGAACTAGAGCTGTGGGTACATTCCCAATGGCACTACTAAATAGCCATTTTGTCTCCACCTGGGAAAACATTTTATCAAACTTGGTTTTTTAGTTTTGTTGAGGAGAAGGTTTTACTCAAATCTGTGGGTTGGTGATTATTAAGACAACACAAGTGGCTCTTCTTCAGATTCTGTTATTGGTCTTCAATCAAGTATGATTGAACGAGTCCTCCTTGTGTCTTATATGAAACTATCCAAGTTATTTCCAGTTGCCTGGGTCGTTTGGTTGTAATGTAGTATCATGGTTAAGAGTCAACTCTGGAGTTAGAATGCTGTACTTATACTCTGGCCCTGCTACTTCCTATCTGTGTGAACTCAAGGAAGTGAATCTTTCTGCACCTTAATTTTTTTCATCTACAAATGTAGATGTGAATAATAATGGTACCTACCCTGAAGAGTTATTATGAGGATTAAATGAGTATATTTGTGTTAGGGTTTAAAACAGTACATAGTCCTTGTTTTGCTATTTTAGCAATATTTATACTTGGCTGTGGTTCACTTAGTCATATCTGAAATTCTGAGGTTAATCATTAGAACTCAGGATAGGTATTATGCCTGTGAGAATAATGGGAAAGGTAAATTGGTAAAAAAGATATAGAGAAACGGCCTGGAGATACCTAAGTAAAACCCCTTGGATGCTCTTAGTCAGGTAAATGCCATGTTAATCAGTCAGGCTAATGCAATGAGGCTATATCAGAAATAGAGACAGATTTACAAGAATGAACATATAACTCAATATTTTCTTAAAGGCCATAATACCAGTCATTTATCTATTCAACAAAGGGTTCTGAGTTCAATGAAGAAAGCTTTCAGGTGTAGAAATTAGTCACATTTCAGATTCATCTAGATGGGGTAGGTTGTTTAGATCAGGACTGGGTACTACTAGGACAGAGCTGGGTCCCAAAACAAATTCTATTTATTAGACCAGGACAGAAACTGACATCATCCAATTCCCATTCACTTTCATAAACCATCTATTTCTTTTTTCTTTTTCTTTTTTTGGTACCAGGGATTTAACCCAGGGCTGCTTAACCACTGAGCCACATCCCCATTCCATTTTATTTTTTATTTTGAGATAGGCCCTCACTAAGTTGCTTAGGATCTTGCTAAGTTGCCAAGGCTGGCTTTGAACTTTCGATCCTCTCACCTCAGCCTCCTGATCTGCTGGGATTACAGATGTGTGCCATGGCACTCCATGTGCCTATTTATTTTTAAACTTTTTTCCTCTATCAAAAGTGGTGTTTGTCTCCAATCCCAGTCAATTTCTTTTTTCTCCCTGTTGCCTGACTACAGTGTAGTGTGAATTAGTTTTAGTCTTGGTATTACATCAACCAGACATTTTCATTTTAAGGTTTTTATCTCTAACAGTGAAATGAACGTCTTTGTTCTTTATTAAGGGGATTCAGACCTTCTAGAGCAGATGGGAGACAGTTTGGGGGATATGGATGAAATTATGCCATCCATAAAACCAACCTTGAAAGGTGAACCTGATTTAGACCTTTCTGACAGGAGAGTAGCAGAAGCCAGCCATCTGGAGATGTGTACTTCTATCTTCCCTCCTGTTCTGCCTGACAAAGATCCAGGGAAGAGGTAGTAGGCGCTGATCCAGGTCTGACACTGGACATCTATTCCTTAAAGGATTAGCATTTTGTGAAATTTCCATGTTGTATCCATACCATAACCAGAATTTTATATTTATTGTATTATTCTTAGTATTGTCTCTGAAAATACAGATGATAACCCCTCTCATATTCCTGCTGATAAAATGAACACAATAGGCTATGAATAAAAGCTATGGGTAAAGACATTTTGGTTAATAAATGTTTTCTTTAGTGGGTTGAAACTAATATTGTGGTGAAGTTGTTATCTGATAAGTTTGTGGGAGTTGAACTTTCAGGAATAATGCACATGCTGCATGAAGTTTTCTTGCATTTTTGGGTGGGGGGAAGTCTTTTTTAAAACTGAATATCTGGCTTTGTTATACCTTAGTAGCCAAAATGTAGAGTTTTGTGAGTGTTTTCCCAAGGAGACAAACAGTTGCCTGGTACTTGGACACATATCTTAGGGAACACTTAAAAACCTTGGGTCAGAAAGAAGATGCTAATGTCTTGATACATACAGCTTTCAGCAAGTTCAGCCGAGCTTGACTTGGTGAGGTGTTCTTGGGTTAAATTACCACTCGGCTATCATGTGTTTTGTGTTTACAATCTTGTATCAACCGGGTACAAAGAGACTTCTTGAGGTGAGGGTTTGGTCCAGAAGAGCCATAGCCAACACAAATGTGTTCTAAATCTACCAGGGGATGGGGAGAATCAGGGAACCTCACTGAGACAGCTGGTTTTGAGTGTCATAGACCTGAGAAATCCTCATGTATGCAAGATGCAAAAGACAGTATAAGGGAGAACTGTCAATGTTGGTTTACCCAAGTTCAATTCTAAACACATTCATCCCCCAGCTTGATTACCTTGGGACATTACTTGATGAACTTAGGGCATTACTTTACATTGACTTTAGTTCCTCTTCTGTGAAACTGAAATAAAAATAAAATGAAAATAATAGTCCCAAAGGATTGAGAAGAGTATCAAATTAATGGAAAGCACCTAAATTAGTGCTAGTTTTTATTAAATTTTAGTCTTATTCCTTCTTGGTATGTTTGGCTGTTCTGTGGTCTCAGGAGACACAAATGTTTTGTTATTTATCTTCATTCAGTGATCACAGAGAGTCAAAATTTTGTAATTGGAAAGACTTAGAATGATGTCATTCTATCTTTTCATTTTTCAAATGAAGAGAGTGAATACTGGAGAGGTTGAATAAGTCATTTCTTCTTTGGGTTTGAGCACTTTTATTACTGCTACTACTCATGAAGATACTAAATAGTGATAGTAAGGTATGTTGAAAGAGTGTTTCATGGTTTTCAAAGTGCTTTCACAGTAAATATACTTCATTAGTCTTCCTAACATTCTTGCAGGATATCCAGGATGGGTTTCTTAATCTTGTTTTGCAGATGCAAAAAATAAGTTACCCTTAGGGAACTTTCTAGACCAAAAAGCTAGTTTTGGGGCCAACATTAGTATCCAAGTCTCTGACTTTAGGTTTCTAATCTAAAAAATTTTCATAACCCCTTAAATCCTCATTCTTAGACCTCTAGGTTTCATGTCATATTTGTAACATGTTTAGGGCATTAGGGACATTAACAATCCTCTGGATAGCTTCCCCACCAAGAACACAGAGATAAGATGACTTGCTCAAGGTTGCATAGCTCTAATAGTGGCAGGGTTGAAAGTGGACTTCTTATTCTGGCGGAATGCTCTGATCCTGCTGGAAACTCCTTCTTAAATGTGATTTATCTAAGGGGTAGTAGAGAGAATATCAGTATGTGCTGAGAGCCATAGCCAGACTGCGGCAAGTATGAAGCAGGATCACTTCGATCCCAAGCTATAGAACTTTATTGCAAGAGATTCTATAAGAAGACTAGAAGGGCCAGGGCTCTGTAAGTTTGGGGAGCTTTTAGGGCCTGTGGAAACTTTTAGGATATAGGTGTTAGTTTTTTTTTTAACCTGTGAACCTTTTTGACTGATGGTTATCGTTTTTAAAAAATCATATTCTGTTTATTCTTTTGACTGTCCCTTATGTTTAGGATCTGATTCTCTAAAGTTAAATTAGAGATCTGGATCTGGAATATGAAGAGGGTGTTTAGAGTTTGCAGAGAAGAGGAAGGAGGGTGCCTCCAGCTAGTTCATGGGCATATGGAAGGGAACAGAGATTCAAGGCAAAGGTTCAAGGTAAAAATAAAAAATGGTTTATAAGTGGAGCCATGTTTTGTTCTATTCATTAGATACCTTGATGCAGGGACAGAGAAAAGTGAGTAATCCTAACCGTGGTTTATCATCTACATAGCACAGTGGATAAATCAATCATAGATCTTTATTGAATTCAATGAATGTAATGAGTTTCTCTCAGCATACCCAGGGTAATTACAAATGTAGCCACCACATGTCCCAATAGCTCAACCATGAAAAACATAAAGCTGGAAATCAGGCGAGTGCATATTCAAACGTCCCTTTATCAAACTCTTCAACTTCATCTTCCCATGTAGAAGAAGGCATGCTACTATATGGGTCTAAGAGAATTTTGAAGCATCTGATAATTAGAAGTCCCAAGAAGATACACAGAATCCCAACAAAAGCAAAGCCAGTTTTTTGCTCCAGAGTCAATGAGAAAGCTGAAACTTCGTTGACGCTCATCTTGGCTGAAGAATTGCCACAGTAGGTACTACTCATTATTCACTGGCACATCGTTGTGGCTCTTCAAAATTCCTACTGCAGTCAACTTTTGGCCTAGGTATAAAATTGGATTCAGTTTAGTTTTACTCTTGTATTCTATCAGACAGGAAATCTTCATATAAAATCTGTCATTTTTCAAACTCTCTTGACTTAACTTGCAAAAGATGTTTGACAACATTATCAGCTATGGATCAGAACCAAATTAGCATCGGAGATGGCTATTTCTACTAATTCTAGTAATTTCTAATAATTACAGAATTACTATTTAGGATGCATAAAACCATTTCTACATATTTAAATATAAAATCAAGCGTGAAGGTGGATATTCAAATTCAACCCTAAAAACTTTTGATTAATTTCTAGAAGGTTGTCATTGCTTCTTTGCTCTGAACTGTCATCTAAATTCACTTCATTTTTGCATGTGTAGATAATACCATTCATAAACACAGACATATGCTATTCATGCTGTTTCAAGTTCATACTTCAGGATTTATCTCTAGTGCTATTTTGCTGATACAAATCCCAATTCTTTTAAACAGATATAATCCTTCTTTTTCACCCCTTTAACTTTTCTGCTTATGTAATTGTATTTTCGTATTCACTAGCACTCCATATAATGTGAATTTCTTAGAGAACTTGTGTTTATTAAATTATGTTAAATACCAGAAGTGCCCAACATAGCAGCTTGCACAAGGCAAGCAACAGTTGTATTGAGCCATCAGCTACCTCCCCCACCTTCTCCATTAACTTTCAGAACTTCCTAAATAAAAATAAAATTTAAGTTAAACAAATTCAGCTTTAATACTCCCAAGTCCCAACTAGATTTCTACTTGTAAGCCCTTAGTATATTGAGATTCTAAAAGTATAGCTAAAGTATTCAGAAAGTATAAGCTGAATTAAAGAGAAATAGGATTTCTTTCACATTTTACATCTTTTTTAAAAAAATACCCTTTAGTTGTCAATGGAACTTTATTTATTTATATTCAGTGCTGAGAATCGAACCCAGTGCCTCACACATGGTAGGCAAGAGCTCTACCACTAAGCCGCAACCCCAGCCCCCACATTTTACATCTTAATGTTAATCAAATTAATGAGCACAAATTAAAATAGTTAATTAAGTCAAATGATTACGAATGTACAGTAACTCCTCCTGCCTTCAAAAAGATTGTCACCAAATATCTTGGTCTTGCAATAACTGAAAATGATAGAATTAGTGTCCTCTTTTTTTGTTGTTGCTTCTTCTGACAACTTTTTAAATTATGTTTATTTTTAATGTCTGACCTTAAGATTTTTTTGGACTCAGTTTTCAGAAAATAATTGAGAGAGAACAAGCGATGGGAGATAAGGAATGGAGCGAGTAATAACAGCAAGACTTGTGCCTTCCAAAAGTATTTAGTAAATAATGCAATCAATTTATTTCAATCAGTATTGTATTTTATAATGATTTGGATTAAAAAAGAGCACTATCTTCAAACCTTAAATTTCGGAAATATTCAATAAATTCTGGAGTATGCTAGTTATTTGATCCTTTGTTTAATAAAAGAAAAAAAAATGTTTCAAACTCTTCTGTTGAATTTTTCTGCCAAATCATTTTTATGCCCTGATAAGAATATCATGAAATTACTATTGTTAGAGTCTGTAAACAAGTCAAGGTGGCGCCTGGAAAAATGCCAGAGGGAGAGGTTTGTGAAGTAACGCCAGTGAGCCATTAAGTGTGGAGATTCCTTATTGGTTGACTGTATGGAGTTTATTGGCTGTATGGAGTTTATGTTAATTAAGATAAGCTATGTGGAATGTATAAATACCTTTGTTGTCCTACAATAAACGGCTCCCACTCCTGCTGTATCAATGTACACAAGTTGTTCGTTGCCCCCCGGTAATTTTGCTGCAGCCTGACTGCAGCATACTATAATTTTTTTTTTTTTAAATTTAGTTCACTTAAGTGGTTCAGAATAATCTTTCAGAAGACCAGTTCTTGGGGCTGGCATTGTGGCTCAGTGGTAGAGCACTCACCTAGAACGTGTGAGGCCCTAGGTTCGATCCTCAGCACCACATTAAAATAAAGGTATTGTGTCCAACTACAACTAAAATATAAATATTAAAACAAAAAGACGAAGTTCTTGAATTATCTGTTGTGTAAAAGGCACAGGAGAGCGTACTGAATATCTAATAACCCTGAGACTTAACAGAACAATTTTTTTGTGACAAATTTGCGCTCTCTCTCTCTCTCTCTCTCTCTCTCCTTCTCTCTTTGCTTTTGTCAATTAAAGGTCATTTGTTGAGACACATAAATAATCTGGTCTATTTGTTAATGGATGGAGAAATTGAAAAGGAGAATGTTTCTACATGGAGATGTAGACCAAGCTTTGTAATAACTGACTGAATGTTTTTTCATCAGAAAAAATTCTTGCTATTTGATATTTCAGGGTATATGTGGTAAGAAGAGGCAATAAATATGGATTATTGGTGGACACTGTGGTGCACCCAATAGATTCTCTTCAATGAAGGATTCATTGCCCAGCAGCCAGAAATGTTGTTAGCAAACAGTTTTCAATGTCTTGCTCCTTTCATGGATTGTGTCAACCTCAGAGTCTACCTCACTTTAGGTCATGGCCATGTCCAGGGAAGGCCATCTTCAGTGACTGATTGTTATGATAGTATGAAGGCATGGCCATCTTGACTCAAAGGCAGGGTCAGTGCTGGAGATCCACATGGGATCAGCTGAGTCTGTCACTGGGTCCACATCACAATTCAGCTTCTGCCCACTCCTGCTTAATTCTCCATGCTTCTACAGGATAAACCTCTGGCACACTAACCTTTGTCTCAGGGTCTGGTTTCTGGGGAACCCAGCACACAATAATTTGTGCTATTGAACCACCTGGGTTTTTTAAAATATCAGTTCATTTTCTGCTAGTTCATTTCACTATCATGTAGAAATAGCTTAAACTGATTGTTTTTATACTAGTAGCTAACTTTATTTAAATGTTTTTAAAAGATCATAGTACAGACTCTAATTCAGGGTCACTGAAAGAGTTGAATCACTGGAAGAGTTAAGTCAGTTATCTGTTGGCCAGTAATTAATCAACTATACTCTAACATTCTAAGTAAAACTTACCAATTGACAAAACAAACAAGCCAACAAAAAGAAGCATTTTCTAGATGTAGCAAAAAACCACTCATCTCATTTACTTCTATTAAATTAAACATATACCAGATAATGCTCTATTCTTAGAGTCTTAGACAATATGTGAATTAATGAGATTATATATATATATATATATATATATATATATATATATATATATATATATATACTAGAGACTTAACCCAGGGGCATTCTACCACAGAGCCACATTCCCAGCCCCTTTTTTTGAGACAGTTTCTTCCAAAGTTGCTTAATGCCTTGCTAAGTTGCATTTTTAATGGAAAAATAAGTACTTCACATGTACTGAAGTACAGTTCCTGGTAAGTAAGTACTGACTACAGTTCCTGGCACATTGTAGATACTTAATAAATATTTGAACTGGATTCAAGTAAATACATTGAGGAACATAATGCTTGATGTATAAAATTATCCTTAAAAATCAATCTAGGCCAGGCATGATGACACTTATTTATAATCCCAGCAACTCAGAAGGCTGAAACAAGAGGATCTCAAGTTCAAAGCCAGCCTCAGTAACTTAACAAGGCCCTAAAGCAACTAGAACCTGTTTCAAAATAAAGAAAAAAAGGGCTGGGGATGTGGCTCAGTGGTTAAGTGCCTCTGGGTTCAATCCCCAGTACCGCCCCCCAAAATCTAATTTTATAATATCCAAAAAACACACACGCACACAAAAACATTTAGTTTAAAATAAAACAAATGAAAGAATTTGCATTTAATTTCAAAAATCTATCTTGAAACCAGGCGTGATGGTGTACTCCTATAATTTCAATGACTTGGGGATCTGAGGCAGGAAGATGACAAGTTCAAGGGCAGCCTTAGTAATTTAGTGAGGTCTTAAGCAACTTAGCGAGATACTGTCTCTAAATAAAAAATAAAAAGAATTAATAAGAACTAGGGATGTAACACAGTAGTAAAGTACCCCTGAGTTCAATCCCTACTTAAAAAAAAATAGTCTTGAAGATTCATATCAAAATTCAACAGCTTTTTCAGAGTTCAGTGTTTCTGCTCTTTTCTATCAAATTGATTAACATAGCATTTACAGAATGTGATTTTTAGTTTTTAAAGGTAGAGAAAGTAAGTCTTTCCTAATAACTTTGTAAGTTTTCTTCTGTTTTTTTTTTTTTTTTTTTAAGGAAAAGTATGTAGTCATTATATTATTTTGGTGTTAATCTGTACCAGGCATTCTATTGTAGCAACTTTGGTTAGCATAGATTTCTGGCATAATTGTACCTCCCTTTGTTTGCCCTGTCCTTTATAATACTTGGCTCTTCCCTTAGGCAAGAGGATTATTTTTTTGTAAGATACTTCCAAAACTTCCCGAATCAATAAATGAGTATACAGAATCACGTAGTACATAAATAAAGCCACTAGTTTTGCTATTCCTTGGAGGAATAGATAAATGGCTATTTGATGACATTATGTATATTTATAAGCACTCAATCTCTATTATTGGTACAAATACAGAAAAAAATGCAGTGTAACTAGGGTAAATGCTGAAAAGTGACCAAAAATTTTAAATGTTTTAGGAATTCTAAAGAGTTGAATGAGCTTAAGGTAACAAATAATATGTTTTAAAACTTATTCATTGAACAGATAGATGTTGAGTTTCTGTTATGTGTCAATGCAGTCCTTGGTGCTAAATAGTTATGAACTTGATAACAATGTATACCTGCCATAATGACTGTTACATCCCAGTGGAAAAGATGAACACAATTAAAAAAAATCTAACTCTATATATCTATATCTATATATTGTGCCAGGTGGTCATAGTTGTAAATGTGAAAGAAAGAAAAACAAGTTAAAAGGAAAAAGAACTGTGGTAGTGACCAAATGTCATTCTTTTAGTATCAAGGGTTACAAATGTCTCTCTAGGGAGATAATATTTGACCTCAAACTTGAATAATGTCAAGGAAGGAGACATGAAAATATAGGGGGTGAAGAGCATTGAAATTTCAGGAAACAGCCATTGCAAAAGAATTGAAGTAGGAGGGGCGATTTCAAATATGATATGTTCAGATCAAGAAATTAACTGATACAGGCTATGGCTCTCAGCATAGGCCCCACTTCCTAAAGGTTCCATCATATTCCAATAGGCCCACCATCTGGCAACCAAGCCTTTAACACATGGGCCTTTGGTTGACAAATGGGCTCTAAACTATAGCAAATGCCAAATTCATTTCCTCTGGGAAATTTTATTACTAGCATGGTGAGTCAGGGAAATAGCATGAACATGATTTAGAATTTTTGGCAATGCACTTAACAGTCTCCCATGATCTTTGCAAGGAACATGGGAGATATTCCTGAATAATAGCATTTTTTATATAGATTCATACTTCAGTGTACTACCCTAATAAATATTTGGTTCTATAATCATGGAGATAGGTCTACAATGTAGTATCACAAAGGACTATCTACATCCTCTTCAGTGTTTTTGAATAGTAAGTAGGTTGAAGACCTAGAAGTGATGATTATTAAATTTGATACAATTCTTAGCTGAAACTATATGATAGCTCACAGAATCAAAACTCAAAAAACAATTCTGATGAAAAGAATTCTGAGTTGAAACCAGAAAATAGAATTTAACATTTCTAAAAATTCTGTGTTTATGTGGGAGGAACGAAGAGGTACCATTCTTAAATGGGGGAGACACAGCTTGGCCGTTTATGTGAAATAAGTCTGCAAGTTATCAAATATATTAGTATCAAATACTAGTATAAATTAAAGCTGTGAGGTGATTATTTAAAAAGCAGACGCTGGCCAGGAGCAGTGGCACACACCTGTAATCCTAGGAGTTTGAGAGACTGAGACAGGAGGATTGCAAGTTTGAGGAACTTAGTGGGGCCCTAAGCAATTTAGCAAGACCCTATCTCAAAATTAGAAATTTTAAAAAAGGGCTAGGCAGGTAGCTCAGTGGTAAAGGGTCCCTGGGTTCAATATCTAGTACCACCACCACCATGGACAATAAATGCTGTCTTAAATTGAATGGAGATACAAATGATAGAAAGTAGCAATACTGTAATTATGCTTCAGTCAGGCAAGTATGAAATAATATATATGCACTATACTTTTACCCCCAAATATTTATTGCATTGCTACTATGTTGTACTAGGAAGGATACCTCTACTCAAAGACATTCCAACCAGGAAGGGAGAGGAGCCATGCTCAAACAAGAATAAAACAATGCAGGTTTCTACCAAGACAATAAAAAAAGGAAGAAAACTTGTATCCAACATGGACTGCGTATCAAATAGAGCTTTACGTCTATTATTTTATCCACACAACAACCATATGTGGTTGATATTATCTTCAACATCTTGATGGAAAAAAAGAAAGAGAGAGAGAGAGAGAGAGAGAGAGAGAGAGAGAGAGAGAGAGAGAGAGAGATTCCAAGGGGATAAACAAAATATAGAGAGATCCGGGCACACTCCTGTAGTCTAGTGCTCAGGAGGCTAAGGCAAGAGGAACTCAAGTTCAAAGCCAGCCTCAGCAAATTAGTAAGGCCCTGAAGCAACCTAGAGACACCCTGTCTCTAAATAAAATATAAAAAAGGGCTGGGCTGTTGCTCAGTGGGTTAGCACCCTGGGTTCAATCCCTAGTACCAACAAAACAAAACAGTATTCTCTAATGTCGTGACACTAAGTTGAAGGTATTTAGGCATGATGAGCAGTGAAAGAATGGAGTCAGGTTGGTGGAGGAAACTTGACAAAGTAAGTTTTACTTGCACAAAAGTTAAAGGTGCAGAAGCTTTAATCATTAGATTTATCATTTTCAATAATAAAGACATGATCATGTATTCAGTTTTCAATAGAAAATCAAAGCCAGTCGTGGAGGTGCACATCTGTATTCCCAGCTACTTGGGAGACTGAGGCAGGAGGATAGCAAGTCCAAGGCCTGCCTATGCAATTTGGTGTGACTCTGTCTCAAAATAAAAAGCGCTAGGATGTAACTCAGTGGTAGAGCACTTGCTTAGTATACATGAGATTCCAGGTCTAATCCTAGGGGGGGAAAAAAGTCCAGTACCTAAGGTTCAAAGGGCTATAAAATTTCCATTTTTAACATAAAATTGATTTGGGAAAGAGCAGATGTTTTATTAATACTTTAAAAACAAAAACTTAGATTTCTATATTCATCTTAAAATTATATTCCACACTAAAGATGAAAACAAAATACAGGTCAAGGAAAACAATTGAAAAGTAATATTTGAAGGTTGAAAAAAGGTCTGGCCATTGCTTCAGGCTGCTTCTACACAAACAAATAAAAGTAAAAAGTTAAATACTTGCTTAATAATAGAATCAGTAAATAGATGTTCTTGGTAGTTTAAGACAAGCATGTAGCAATTGAAATACTTGTATTTGAGGTCTAAATTTTTCAACTAATTGCCCAAACTTTTCATTTTATTTGACTTACGAAATGAACAACTTGTCTAATTTCAGCATGAAGTCTACAGTTTCTGAGAATATGTTACTAAACAGGGTCAGCTTTGTGCCTTTCTATTGATATGGAACATAATACAACATAAAAATACTGTTAGTAACATAAGTAAGTCTTTAATTACAACACTCATTCCTTAAAAATAAATAAGGAATCCAAAATATTTGACAATTATGGAAGTCAGATACATTTTTACTTTCTCTAGTTGCTGAAAGAGATCGGAAAGCAAAACATCATTAGGTTCTGCACAACAAACATTGTAATGCCTACCTCAGGAGGAAACATCATCTTAACATCCTGTTTACTAGGAAATAGAAAAATGAAAGACATATGAGAGAAATTCAGATTATGAAGTAACAAAACCATAAATTTAAAAATATGAGAAAAATTAGTTGAGAAAATTTGATGAATAAAAAGATCAAATGTAAAATTAAATAGTGGTAAAATTATTTTAAATATGCTAGACAACAAAAAAATTGATAAAATTATCAACATTGCACAGCTTAAATATCAGGGTTTCTACATATATTGATTAAAATGTTTTAATACATTTTTATAATACTACTAGAAATAATAAACTACTGCTTTGAGCCATGTTCATTGAAATTAATGTTTAGGCATTTTTGAAAGAAGCAACTGGGTTGAAAGTACAACATTTCTTTCATGGCAAATGTCAGGAACTGACATTTGAAGTTCTGATGAGTCATAGGATTAGGCCAAGGGTATACCTGTAGATATCAAAAGGCCCAAATTTCGTGGAGGCTGCTTCATAATTGCAAATCACCAAATGAAAAAAAAAAAACAAAAAACAAAAAACTAAATCCTCTGATTAGTCATACAAATCATATCATTGTAAGTAGTCAAGCAATGTTAATATTTTTATAGATATTTAGTCTTTCGTATACATGAATGTTGAAGGTGATGTTTATGTCTTCTGTGAAATATATTTACTGATAAGCAGACAAAAATTCATTTTTCAGAAACATAGTTATTAAACTTGCATGCAATACATAATTGTGGAAGCCAATGGTAAAAACATGGATCAAAAAAAAAAGAACCACCTCCAGTATTTTCATTTTAATCAACAGGTTTTCCCCCCCTCTTGTTTATTTATTTAGTAATGGTATTCCAAACAGCAAATCTGAAATAGATATTATTAAAGTGAAGTATGATATTCTGGATAATAATTTCTAATACCAATGATATGACATTCATAATTTCATGAAATGACATATAAGAAAACCCAAGCTTAAAAAAAATGAGCCCTCCCATGCATAGACACACACACCCTGCACCAAATATAAAAAGATTATTAAGTCCTGTTAAAAGTAAAGAGGAAAAAGACGCATTATTGAGGCCACTTTTGCATGGAGCTAGCTAATCATTAGTAATGGAATGTGTTGGAATTGAAAGAAAATCTTAAATTACAAACCCAGATGTCTTCATCATGGTGCATAGATTTCAGAGTTTCCCAGATAGCCATACCTTGGGATCTTCCAGAATTCACCCTTAAACCCTTCAGATTTCAATCTTAAGAGAATTTCTCTCTTAAGAGACCTTTTGGATGGCTCTTTTGACATTCCTTCCAAATTACTAGACAATCTGATCTGAAAATTCTCAAAATGTCTCACTAGAGAAGCCTAGACCATCATTATTATTCTACGTTGTTTGTCTCTAGTTCTCTTTCTAAATATTAAACTGAAGAAGCATGGAAACTTCCTACCAAATATTATGGGAAAAGCATCAACAATCCATACACACACACATTTTTTTTTTTTTTTAAACAAGAGCATCAGCAGCTCCAGAAGCACTAGGGCCCTTTCCTCCTAAGAATTTGAACTCACCAGACCCGCAGGCTCCCCCCACCACCCTCCTCTGGCTCTCCTGTCTCAGAAAAGCAAGAGGATGAAGACAGGCTCCTCATCTGGACCTGTACTGGAACCCCGTCAGTTAATGCGGGGAGAAGGGAGAGAAAGTTACTTCGCAGGCAGCAATGTCTCACCTTCCATGCTTGTTGTCATGGAGATGAAATCCAGCGAGTAGACTTAAGTGTTGGCAGGTTTGTCTGTGTTCGCTGATCGGTTCAGTAAAAATGTAAAAGGCGTATTCTGGGAACCTGCGTGGAGTCACAGGACCGTGGTTAGCGCTTTCCTGGCCTATGAGTGTAAATGCCTGTGTCTGTCGGTGAGAGAGGACGTGGGCGCTCGCCGAAGTACGTGTGTGCGCGCGTACGGTTTGTAGGAAAATGTGTGTTGATTTCTTCGGTGTGTCACTGTAAATATTTGCGCGCGTGTGTGAATGTGACAGCGTCTGTGTATGTGTGTAAGACTGAAAGGAGGTGGAAACGAGAGGGGGAAGGGCATCAGCTACAGCAGCAACAGGCTCTATTCTTCAGGTCTGCTAAAAAGAAGAAGGAAATAAAAGGAAACAGGCGCTCATTTTCCCCCACATTACATCCTAAAGGTTAGCAATCAGGATTCATCATCATTTTTGCTTCCTAAGGCCGTGAGGATTTCATTAATTTATTGTGAAAATCCTTGATTTTCTCTCTTTGCTGCATCCCTAGCTATGCCGCGGGCATTTTGCTGCGCGTGATGACAGCAGTCTCCGTGGAACGGTAGTCTCTAGATTTTTACATTACATTTCATTTCATCGGATAAAGGAAAAACGGGAGTGAAGGGTGTATTGGTATAACTGGGGACTGAATGCGTCACTTGGAGTTTTTACCCTTATCCTTTCGGTTTTCTCTACGAGAAACAAACCCAAACGGATCCCCTCCCATTACAGGAGTAGGCGCCTAGGCGCTGTCCGTAGTCCTGAAATACTGCGTAGTGAGACCTTCCTCCTAAATACTAGCTAGAAAGCACCAAAATAGTAGTCAGGAACTCTCCAATAAAATCTTTAGGTAGCCGAGAGTCACGTTTTCTAAACAGCGTTGAATATGTAGATTGCAAGCACTCTGCTTTGAAAGCAAAGCAAAACAAATTTGAACAACAGAAATCTCCCTTATCCCTGATTTAGGTCTCTATTTGTTTCTCCAAACTCAGTTTTAACGTTTCCAATTTCTTTCCTGTTTTGCTCTATATCCAGAACCTACAATTTGCAAGCACCTGTAGGTTTCCTACAATTTATTAATCTTTTTTTTTAAGATTAAGAGAGAGAGAGAATTTTTAATATTTATTTTTTAGTTTTCGGCGGACACAACATCTTTGTATGAGGTGTTGAGGATCGAACCGGGCCGCACGCATGCCAGGCGAGTGAGCTACCGTTTGAGCCACATCCCCAGCCCTACAATTTATTAATCTTATGATCTAGTAAATTGTTGGCATTTGGGGGAAAATACAGATACAGAATTAGGACATAAACTATGTTAATAATAATAATTCTTTAAAAAACTGAGAATATATAATGTGTAATGAGTTTTAATTAAAAAAAAGAAGACATTTTAATGGTTATTTAGGGTATTTAATAATTTAGGAAATGTAGTAGTCTTAAAAAATTGGGCAAAGTATACCTGGGAGTTCATAAAAGGCCATACTGGAAAAAAACAAAAACCAAAACCAAAAAACAAAACAACAACAACATCAACCTGTTCTTTTTCATTTAAGACTATTAAAAATCCTGAAAAATAGGTGATGTTATTGCTTACTATGAAAGAGAGAAGAATATCTATCTTTTTCTAGTGACATTTTTCTTACTATGGTTTCATGAACTTGTTAAGGGCCACATACTTTATTAGCACTGTGGGCTAGGACAGTGCTTCTTGAAATTTAATGAGCAAATGAATCCCCTGGGGAATCTTGCTAAAAACAAGACTCTGATTTAGTAGGTGCGCGGTTTTGGAGTCTCAGATTCTTCATTTCTAACAACATTGTAAGTGATGTAAAAGGTTGCTAGTCTTGGGGCACTTCAACTAGCAAAGTGCTAGAAAATGTATTCTGGCAACAAAGTTACTCATACAGTGTGAGAAAGAAAGTAATTTTCTTCTATCTACTTTTCTACATTTCTAGACTGTATCAAAAATAAGCCATTCCAACCACTCCAGAAGTTAATCCTGGAATTATTTTTGCTAGCTACAACTGTTTATGAGTTTGATTCATTGGACTTTGATTTTGACACTGCCTAGACCCATGCTACAGTTGACTACATTTTATAATTCCATATTATGATCTGCAATTATCTATTTGTTTTGGAATTCTAGCTCAAGGGAACAGAGCCAAATTACATGATTCTGCTGTTGATTTATGGGCCCCATTCCAAGAATTTGTTACTTTGGTTAGGGATTTTGAATTATCATTTTATGACTTTAAATACAGCCCCATGATAAATGACCATAAGTTGATTTTTTAAAATCTAGAAACTACAGACCTAATTCTCACTTGGTTTAGAAAGAGGAATAGGGCTAGTTTTTCATAAATAATTAGTGTGAACACTGATCTGTTAAGTCACTGACATCATATGCACATACATAGATTTTGAAGTTTGCTCAAATGGATAGTTTTGTGCTTTTTTAAAAAAATTGTTTTAATTGTAGTTGAACACAATACCTTTATTTTATTTTTATGTGGTGCTGAGGAGCAAACCAGCACCCTGCATGTGCTAGGTGAGCACTCTAACCTTGAGCCATAACCCCAGCCCCAATTTTGTGTTTTTAAAAAAAATCTGTAACAATATCACTTTATGTTGTTCTTCCAGTTAATAATTTTGAATTGATGCCAAAGGAAAGCTTTAACTACAAATTAGGCTCCTTTGTGTTAGTACATGACCTTCACCTTTTTAAAGCTACATGAAAGGTGGCAATGTTCTCAAAAGTCAGGAAAGTATAATGGATTAAGAAATCCATTATGTTCTACTTCTTTAGCTAGGTGCTGGGATTCAAAGATAAATGAGATTTGTTCTTTGCCCTTGAGATACATTGTAGACCCACATGGCAAGTTTTACAAAGTTCATAGAAACACAGAAATTAATGTGTAATTTATATTTTATTCTCCATTGCTAAAGTAGTGATGAAGAATTGTATAAAGATAAAACACAGAACACTTGCTTGCATTTTAAATGCTTGCTCAATTTCTATAAAAAATTTCTAAAATGTATGGACTATATGAATGTTATTCTAAGGCACATGTGGTTTAATTTATACTTCCAGAGAGTCTATGATTTATTTTCAGAGCAATACAAATTATTAGAAAGGTAAATATGTGCATTGTTTTAACCTCCCAGACAGAATTGTCTTTCTTCTGTTTTGTCATTACATTCTTAGTTTATATACAAATATTCTACAAAAAACAAGTCCCAGTTTATACAACCTTCTCTATGCCTATTACAATGTTGTCACTAAATCTTGGTCAACATATCACTTACCATTATGATTTGAATATGAGGTGTCCAAGCTCCTATTAATGCAGGAATATTTAGAAGTAAAATGATTATATTACAAGAGCTGCAACCTAATTAGTCCATCCAAGTTTGAATGGACTGACTGGTTAGTAAGTGTAGGCATTTGGGGTGTGGCTAGAAGAGGTGAGTCCCTGGGGGCAGCCCTGGACAATAGTTCTTCTTGTGCTCTCTCTCTCTCTCTCTCTCTCTCTCTCTCTCTCTCTCTCTCTCTCCTTCCTTGCTGTCATGAGAAGAGCAGCTTCCCTCCACCATACCCTTCCTCTATGATGTGTTGCTTCATCTTAGTCCCAGAGCAATGGAGTCAACTGTCTATGGATTGAGACCTCTGAAACTGTGAACCAAAATAAGTGTTTCGCCCTCTAAGTTGTTCTCACTGGAAATTTTAATCACAGGGACACAGAAGCTGATTGAATCAATCTAGTGCTTATTTGACTTTAGATGACATTAAGCAATTAGCTAGGTTAAAAAGTTGACTGCTTATATTTTTAAATGCACTCCTATTTTGAGTGTCATTTTTAGCTACCCATGCCTTCTTCCCACCTCTGTTGTTTTAATCTTCTTTTTTTTGGGGGGGGGATTAAAAGTGACTTTGAAATTTTAGTAAAAAGTATATGCCATCTCTCTAAAAATACATACATACAGATGTTTTGCTCAAAACTCAGGCATTCATGGACACCCCCCATAAGAAGTTCATTTCTGTAATCCAACATAATCCCAAGAGAATACTTCAAAACTTCTTCTATAAATGAATGGACCATGATCTTATTCTCAGTTTTGCATTTAGATATAGAGTGGTTAAAGTCCTTTGTTTTGTTTTAAGAAAAAGAAGAAAAACATAAAAGTAATAGAGCAATTTAAAAAAACAAAACAAAACTCTGATATCTCAAGAGTAGCCAATGCTGAATGTGCTGAAATAGGATTAGAGAGGGTAGTAATAGCATGATTAGATATGATTAGAAAATGACTGTACTGGATTTTGTCAACAGTGAAGAAATTATCTAAGTGAGTGGACTCATAAGTGAATTGAGCATGATGACACTTCAGTGCAGATAATGATCTAATGCCGGACTATTTGATGAATCCCATTGAAAATGAGAATTTATGTTTTGCTGGTAAACTTTTCTGCAAAGAAAAATACCCTAAGTGTTTCATTTCAGAGTGACCTATTTAAAATAAGTTTCATTTAATTGGTTTCAATTTTATGACACATAATCCTTAAATTGTTTCCTAAAAGTGTACTTCAAACCCTCTGCTACATTCACTGTTGAATCTAATTCATATGATAGGGTATCTTGAGCTCAATGTCCACAAATGTGTGAGTTGTCACCACAGTATAATATATAGAAATTGGCTTAAATTATTTTGCTTGGTTAAAGAAACAGAAACAAAAGCCATTATTTTTTTTACTCTGTTGCAACATATTCTTTTGTAATATGAGTCAGTTAATGCATAATTGAAAAATAGAAATGTGAATAGAATGTGGAAATCAATTGTTTTATGTACAATTTTCCCAGTGTAATAATGTTTTGATTATCAAGCAGCAGCAGCAGAAATCCAAGTCCACTAAGACAGCTAATGCAGTAAGTTGTGGAAGAAAGCAGTCTTGTACCCATTGCCCATCCACTCCCCTTTTTATCTCTTGGCACATGCTCTATCTTGAAAGTGCAGGTTCTTCTTGATCTTTGTTTATTTGCCCTTGTTTTCATACTCAGTCTTTCTTTATATTTTCCTCTCATTTGTTCTTAACTAAAACAAATTTTCAGTTTTACATATATTGTAAATTATATTTGAACTTTTATTCTTAACTTTGCTAGCACTTTCAATAGGTTTGTAAATGTTTTTGTAGTGCTCTAGTTGTGATGTGGCATAGCTTTTTCATTGTTATGGTTTGGACGTGAGTTGTCCTCCAAAAGCTCACGTGTGAGATAATGCAAGAAGGAAGGTTCAGAGAAGAAATATTGGGTTATGAGAGCCTTACCCCAATCAGTGAATCAATCCCCTAATGGGATTAATTGAGTGGTAACTGAGGGCAGGTGGGGTATGGCTTTGAGGTATATATTTGTACCTGGCAAGTGGAGTCCCTTTCTCTGATTTCTGATTATCACGTGAGCTGCTTCCTTCCATCACACTCTGCGGCCATGATGGAGCCTGCTGTTCATGCACTGAGATCTCTG